ACGATGCGTCACAAAGTGACACACAGACCAGACTTTAGTTATCAGGGTCTCCAGGAATTAAATCGACACAGCAGGCACACAGCCTTTCCTTATTCCTGTTCGTGGGTGAGCCTACAAAACTGTCCAGCACTTACTCTCGGCACCTCAGTGTCCTCAACTGGAACATGGGGGTGGGCACTACAGTGCCCATAGGGCTGGGGTGACACTAAATTGAGTAATCCTGTAAAACGATCAGTGCAGTACCTGACAGAGGAAACACTGGGCAAGGCTTCTGCACGGTTCCCAGCACCAGGCTGTGGCACAGTAACTGCCTGAAAAAGGAATGGCCGATTCTCTGCAGCCTGTGAGATTGTCAAGGGACACCTTCTGGATCTTTGTCTGATCATGGCTATGTCCCCAGACATGTCTGGCAGACATGGCTATGTCTAGCAGAGTCCTGGCATATAGTAGGACCACAACAGATAGTGGATGAATGAATAAATAAAGCATAACCCTTGCTTTCTAGATGAGGGACCTGAGGCTCCAAGAGGTCAAGTGACTGCCCAAGACTGCATAGCTGGGCTGTCTGAGTGGGGATGATAAAAACCCACATTTTCTCTCATTTTCAACCCCCCCCCCCAAAAAAAGCCACACACACACAAAGGAATTGGACTTTCACCATTTGGGCTCAGGAAGTGCAGAATCTTGGTTTCCAGACTGCCAGGACCTTTGTGGAAGGGGGGATGCTCCCAGCCTCTGCCCAACCTATGAAAGGAAGTTGTTCCAGATTCAGCCAAAGGGCAGGGCTGAAGGGTCTGGAGGGCGGAGGAAAGAGACAGCCAGGTGTGGATTGGTGCTCAGTGTGGACAAAGCTAGGGGAGCGAGTTTTCAGGGTCCATGGGGGAACAGGGCCAAAGCTCTTTAGACAGGGAGTTGGGCCCTTGACGATCTGGGCTGGATCCTTACCCTAACACCACGCCTCCCCACTCTCTCACCCCCAGCAGTTCCCCAAAGGCTGAAAGCTATTCTTGGCTTTTTCTAAAAGAGGCATTTGAAGGCATGAGCCAATTTTTTCCATTCCTGAGCTGGCAATCTCTATTTTGGGCGTTTGTTGTTTTCCATGAGTTGCTAATGCCACTGTGAAGCCAGCCTTTCCTGGACAGCTATCGTGAGGGAACGAGGCAGGAGCAAGGCGGCCAGCGGTTAAAAATACTTCCCGCTTCATTTTTCCTTTGAAAACAAAGCCCTGGGGGCCTTTTGCAACAGCTGAGCCTGGGAACAGAGTTTCCCAGGGCAGAAAACTGGCAGGGTGTGTTGTTTCCTGAGTGCACTGGGCCCCAGAAGAAGGCACAACAATGATTTGCTGTGTGACCTCGGGCAACTTGGTTACCTCTCTGGGCCTGGTGGCCTCCTCTCTAAAATAAGGCCAGGTAGAAAGAAGACTTTGAATGGTCCCTCCAGCTATGGGAGCTCCAGGAAAAGAACCATGCCTAGGACCAGATTTTCTTCTTAGAACTGAGCCAGCAAGGGGTTCTATGACTTGGAAGTAGGAGTTAGGCAAAGGCAGTTTTTAGCTCAGCCTCTGGGAATACTCTGTGAGCTCCAAGCCCTGAGAGTATTCTAAGGAGGTCCAGAATGTTCTCAAAGGATTCATGTAATTGTAAAAAGGTTAAGCACCATCTACAGGGAATTAAACAAAGACGTTGTGGTAGCTCTGCGCCAAGTAATGCAGCCTACCTCCCATGAGAAGCAGATCTGTGTTCTGATGTGGAAGAATCTCCAATATGTACTGTTGGGCAGAAAAGCAAGTTGCAGAATGGAACAATTAGCATTGCATCATTTATTTTAAAATATTCACAAAACAAAGTTACATATTTTTCTACACCGTGGATACATATGTTCATAAAAATACATAGGAGAAGTTCTGGAAGATTTTATCTAACCTGATAATAGTCCTTATCTTTAGGGCAGAGAGGAAACTGAATTTGGGGTGGTGTCAGAGAGCACTGATTCATTTAACATTTTTACAGGAAAAATGTGTTAGTGGTATCTTTTAAAAACTTTTTTTTAAAAATTGAGACACACAGAGAGACCCTAACATTAAGGGCAAGGCAACTATTCTCAGGCCACTTTAAGCTGGGGCCCGGAGGCTGGAGGCAGGCTGCGGGCAGGAGGTGGAGGTATGTTAGATAGTGGCTTAAGCAGTGGAGGTGTTTATGCTTTTAGGGAAGCCAAGGGAGATGATGTCGTTCCTAGGCAAGACTTATTGGCCATTGTAAATTACATTCTATTGCAAGGTTTCCTCAGGAGGCAATTAAATTTAGATCATATTGTTCCCAGGTTGGCATAGGCAGGTGTTGACTCGCTGAGGCTTTGCACAACAGCTACTGTCTGTCAGAGTGTGCTCGGCTGTCTGGTTGGCAGAATAACTGTCCCATGTGGGATGAGCAGCTGCTTTGTAAGGCAGTGAGTTCCTCATCAGGGGTGTATCCAATTCAGGAGGGAGGGGTTGGCCTAAACTCTGACCCAGGGGGCAGCAGCCACGTCTCCCTCCCAAATTTAGGCACTTGATTTTTATAGGATGAATGAAGGTGGGACTGGAAGTCTTTTGAGCTTCCTGATGGCATTGCATGGTGTTGTCTGCCACCACAGTCTCAGCTGTCCTGGATAGCTGTAAACTGGGAAGTGGGATGCACTATTACACTCACCATTATACAGATTGGGGCAAGTAGTAAATATCATCAACTATGTGTCTGTTACCAAATCTACAGGTGCTGGCTCTTACAAATCAACTCATTGTGAGATAGAGAAGGGAGGCTACATACAGGGTCATTCACTCTGGGCTGAGCTTGGAGAGGTCTTCCCTCCTAGGGCCAGAGAGGGTAAGGCCAAGGTTTCAAGATCACCAATTTGCAGGGTTTCAAGGGTCCATTTGTTTAGGGTGATGGCTGGGCAAAAATAGGTGCAAACAGCGTTGGTGGGTACCTGGGCACGAGGGCTCCTTAACCATTTGTCTGTATTTCCAGTCTGTGCCTTCCTCCTGGATTCCAGGCCTCAGTTCCAGCTGCCAGCTGGACACCTCAGTGGTCCCTACCTCTTCACCAGAGCTCAGGTCTTCCCCTTTAGGCTTTCCTCCTCAGGCCATAGTCCCTGATTCTGTAAACAGCATTGCCAAAGATGGCTGAAGGGAATGGTTAGTAAGACCTGCCTGGAAGCCCCAAAGCTCAGGTTTAGCTCAGGCTCTATCCTTTACTAGCTGTGCTACTTGAGCTAATGAATCTCCCAGAACCTCAGTTTTACCCTATAAAATGAAGACAGTGATGATGTGAAATGCATAGGACTGTTGTAACAAAACCAATCAACAGCTCAGGCTGGTGTGGCTCAGTGGATTGAGCACTAGTCTGCAAACCAAAGAGTCACTGGTTCAATTTCTGGTCAGGGCATATGCCTGGGTTGCAGGCCTGGTCCCCAGCAGAGGTCTTATGAGAGGCAGCCACACAGTGATTTTCTCTCCTTCTCTTTCTCCTTCCTTTCCCCGCTCTCTAAAAATAAATAAAATCTTTTAAAAATATATTAAAAAGCTAATCAACAAAAAAATTGTGAGTGCTGAGACCTTAGGCTCTTTTTCCAAATTCTGGTAAAGTATATAACATAAAATAACATTTTAACCATTTTTAAATTAATTTGAGAGAGAGAAACATTGATTTGTTATCCCACTTATTGACACATTCATTGGTTGGTTCTTGTATGTGCCCTGACCAGGGATCAAACCTACAACCTTGATGCCTTAGGATAATACTCCAACCAACTGAGCTACCCAATCAGAGCCCATTTTTACCATTTTTAAGTGTACAGTTCAGTGACATTAGTACATTCACATTGTTGTGCAACAATCACCACCATCCATCTCTAGAACTTTTTCATCTGGCCAAACTAAATCTTTATCCTTATTAAATACCACCTCCCCTTTCCCCTTCCCCCCAACCCCTGGCAACCACCATTCTACTATTTGTCTCTGTGATGTTGATTCTAATACTTCACCTAAGTTAGATCATACAGTATATGTCCTTTTGTGTGTGGTTTATTTCACTCAGCCTAATGTCTTTGAGATTCATCCATGTTGTAGCATATGTCAGAATGTCCTTACTTTTTAAGACTGAGTAATATGCCATAATATTGCATGCATATATTCCAGTTTATCCATTCATCCATCAGTGGACACTGGGTTGCTTTCATTTTTTGTCTGTTGTGAATGATGCTGCCAATCCATGGGCTCTCAGACCTCAGCCTCGGTTTCCTCTTTTGTGATGTGCACATGGCCAGTGCACATGGCTGGGAGAGTCACTCCTCACTCCAGTGGAAACCCCCTTCAGCTGGCTCAGCATTTCCTCTAGCCCCCACTCCACCCTAAGCCTCACCCTTATCTCTTCCAGCAGGGTCCATGCCCCTCTTTGCACTGTTTGCTCTGTAGCTGTCACTCTCTGTCTTCATGATATATGTGGACATTGGCCACCAAGGGCAGGCTTCCTATTCCAGGCATTTCTGGGACCCCAGAGAACTTTGGCCAAGGACTTCATAGTTTGTGCTGGGGTCCTTGTTTGGCTAACACCAACCACCTCTACTTCAATGTTAAACTGGGAACTGGGAAACGTCCACCATCCAGTTCATGGCAAAGTCAGAAGCACTTTACTCATGCCACCCAACCCCCAGTGGCCTCCTGCAAGCAAGGAGGATTTTCCCAAGACTATAGTTGGGCCTCTATAGAGAAGAAGGCAACAGTGATTCCTGAGTATCCTGCTTCAGCCCACAAGGTGGGGAGCCTATTTCAGGAGCCTAGAGCCTTGGGAGGGGAGAGCACACTACAACTCCCAGAGTCCCCCGGGCTCAAGGGGCCGACCTGCCCCTCGCAGAGACTCGGACTCAACGATCGGAGCCCGAGGGGGCGGGGACAGTGCAGTGCTCGTGGGGCGGGGCGGGGCGGGGGCAGAGCTGGAGCCTAGCGCGGGCGGGGCGAGGGCGGGTCCGCTAGGCGGCCAGTGCGCCGGGAGCTCGGAATCGGAAAGTGGAGCTTGCGGAGGGCTTGGCGCGCCGGGGAACGTTGGCGAGCTATGGGTAAGCCGCTCAAGGCCAGCGGGGAAGGGGCTAGCGGCCCGCGGGAAGCGCGAGGCTGGGGCGCTGGGTCTCCCGGGTCCTCGCGGCCGTGGGCGCCACTTCGGGGGGCGGAGCGGGACCGGGGCGCACTGCGAGGCGCGGGGACCCAGCCGGCCTGGGCACTTAGCCGGCCCGAAGTGCCAGTGCCTCCGCCCGCTCGGGAGGGAGGCCAGGTGTCGGCGCGCGCTCTTCGAAAAAGGAAAGACAGAAAGTTCTGGCGGCCAGGGGCTTCCCGGACGTTTATCTCGAAACTCTTCTCGCCGTCTCCTGACTGAGATGTACCGAGTCCTGCACGCTCTGTCATCCCACTTCCTGCTGTGGTTTCAATCTCGAGCTGGCCTCAGCTAATTTGTTGTGACAGCTGTCTGCGACCTTCTCCCTGCTCCCCCGCCCCCATCTACTCCCTCCTTATCTGCTCCTGGTCCCCCATTTTTCCCCTCCCCCATTTGCCCCTCTCCGTCTCTCCCACCCCATCTGCCCCTCATCCCCTATCTACCCCCGCCTCCGTCTGCCTCGGTCGCCCCTCTCTTGCTCCAGTCTGCGCCTCCGTTCTCAGAACCCGCCGCACCGCTGGGAAGAAGCTCGAGTCCGGGGCGCGCTCCCCACCGCACCCGCCGTTTCCTGAAAGTGACGCTGCGCGGGTTTTGAAGAACTTGCTCCGCGCACTTTGAAGAATCGCTGGTTCCTCTTTCCGCCGGGGCCGCGCTGGTCCTCCGCGCTCACAACTTCTCGCCTACCCTTTCTCTTTTCTTTTCCCTCACCTTTTCCCTTTTCTAACCGGGTCTCCCCTCGTGTTTTCTGCCCACCCTCCTCGGCCCGGCGGCAGCAAAGGGGTGGCCGCACTCCCCTCTCCTGTCCTCCCTTGTCTTTCCTGCCCCTCGGGTCTCCAGAGGGAAAGGCAGCCGGGGCGGATGGGGTTCCTCCGCGGCGTCCCCCGGCACCACTTATATTCCCCATGACTGCAGACCCCCAAGGGCTTGGGGTGCGGATCTGGAGCCGCTGCCCCAGCGTCCCTTTGTGGGGTCGTTAGCCAGCGAGGAGGGTTTCCCGGCCGAAGGGAGAGTAGCCAGCATTTCTTGACCCATCAGAGCACCACCATTGGGGGTGTCGGGGTTGCTGCGCCTGCTGGGCACGGGGGGATAGGAGATGGCGGCTAGAGGGTGGGCTCGAAGTGGAGTTCCAGAGTCCATTCGAGCGCCCAAAGGGTCTACGCTGGGAACTTGGAGTGGCAGAGGTAGAAAGACCTCAGAGAGTCGGTCCTTCCTTTCTTTACTGTTTGAGAAACAGGTCTGGAGACCGCCCCTGTCCCGCCGTGAGGGAGAGCAGGCTTCCGAGAACCCTAACCCTCCCTCTCCTTGTTTTCTGTCTCCTGGTGGGAAACTGGCTAGAGTGGCCCAGGGCTCCCTTCTAGTTCCTGCACCACGAGCGTACTCCGGAGAGTCACCCTCGGGGCTCCGGAAGGGAAGTGGAAGGCACGGAGGCAGCGGAGTGCCCTTGAAGGGGTCAGGCTGTGCCTGTACTGTTGGGCACGTCTCCGACAAGCCCCTGCATCTGGTTTCTCCAGGTGCATTAGGAAGGGGGAACATAGTTCTTGAGGGCACAGGAAACAGGTCAGGGGTGGAGCTGCTACTGTTACCATCAAATGTCACCCAGGCTTGGAGGGGAGGGTTGTGAGGATGCAGCCCGATTCTGGAATAGGGTTTCTTAGGACACGCCAGAGCTTCTAAGAGGGACCTGAGTCCCAGTGAGGCCTATGAGTTGGCGGTCTCACATTTGGTTCCTCACACCCCTACCTTTCTATACTCTCTCCAGGTTGCCATCCTGAACCCGGCAGCTGGTAGACCCCGTCCCCCCACTCCCAGCTGAGACACTGAGGCAAGGCTGTGGCAGAAGCTGTACCCTGAGCCCTCGGGGTCCCATGTCCAGCTGTCTGGCTGGAGAGCAGCCCTCCAGAAATGGCCCACTGGAGCAGTGCCACACCAGGACTCTGCCAGGCAGCCGGCTCCTGGCTAGAGTGGACTGGCTGCTTCAAAGGCTGCCTTTGTTTGGGCTCCAGCTGAAGCTAGGAGAAACTTAAGCCAAGCACCTCAGGCAAGGGGGTGGGGCCACGTCTGCTGGTTGTTGTTGAGGCTGCTGTTACCATTATTGTCAAAATTGACACAGTGCTCCTAGTAGGTGACTTTTCATGAAAGGAAGTGTCACTTCCCCTCACACCAAGGGTGAATTGGGCTGGGCTGGGGTAGGGGGGCAAGAAGAGAGGAGGGGGAGAAGAGAGGTGGTGTGGCCTTGTGCTGGGTCAGCCCTGAGTCCCTGACTGGCTGTGTGGCCTTGAACTAGTCATAGCCCAGGCCCCATTCTGGGTATCAGAAGTGTCTAAGGTCAAGTGGCTCATGCTGGTCTGCAGGGCTGATGCTCATGGAGCACTGCTCCTGCCACACACTGCTCTGGGCAGTGGGGCACAGGCAGGCAAGTAGCACAGTCAGACTTCAAACCTCACAGAGGGGTCTGCACGTGTACACAGTAACATGCATGCACACACACACACTCAATATTCATGGTTGCAGTCACACATATACACACTATACACTAATAGTCATACATATTCATACATTCACACTCACACAGCATGCTCTCACACTCACATTCACACTCACATGCTCACACTTGACTGTGGTTTGTAGAGGAAGCTTCATTTCTCACTTAGTTCTGCTGAGCACCTTGGGCCCATGGGGTCTAGCACACCTTATATTATAGGTGGGGACACCAAGGCACAGAAGCAGTGACTGGCTTGATAAAGATGTACCTATATGGTGTCAGAGCCCCCTTCCCATCTCTCCTCTGCCCCCTCATCTGACTTCAGCAGGCTCTTGTTAGCACACTAACAGTAGCGATGTGATACGCGGCTGCTGACCTTCTTGGGGAATGCAGGCAAGGTTGCAGCCCCAAGCACAGAGCTTGGGTCTCCCTGCTCCCATTAAAAAAAAACCTCTAGGCCTTGGGGTCAGTCCAGCTGCTCTGGTTCTGAGTCCCACCTGTGCCATTCAGGCTGTGTGACTTCAGGCAAGTCACTGAACCTTCCTTAATATTAATCTTAGGTATTGTGTCTGTAACACATGGGTAATAACATCCACTGGATGGCTGAGGATATCCAGTGAGGCCATGGTCCAGTCCGAGGCCTGCCAGGGCACCGACTGGAACTGGTAGAGTGGAGAGCGTGGAAAGGGGAGGAGGGAATGGCTGCAGGACAAGTAGATGTTGGGGAGCACCCTCTTTGGGAGTTAGGGCTAAAACTAACTTCTTCACAGCTGTGGTTTTAAGTTCTGACTTCAACACATGCTATAAGTTAAACACAAATCAGAGACTCCGAACACAGGAAGGGTCTTGAGGAGTCCCCTGCCCAGCCACTGCCACACCCACTCGCTGCTCAATGAGGGACTGGGCCACAAGGGCCAGAGTTCACCTGGCCCAGCCACCAGCCTCCCTTGTCTTCTTCCCAACCATGAACTGGGGCATGGAGGGGGCTATGGAGCCGATTCCTGTGCGGCCAATTCCCACCCTCGATTATCAAGGCATTTCTCACACTGTTATCTCACTTCACGAGGAATAAGCTTAAAAGGAATGAGACAGGGCCTTAAGAAGGACCATTTGAGGACCATGAAGGGAGACCTGAATCTATGGTCCTGAAGGGGGAGATGAAATACAGAAGGGTGTTATTTCTCCTCAGAGTAATTTCTAGACTTAAATACAATTCAGTAAAAACCCAGTGGCTTCCCTTTTTTGGAGGGAATGTAACAAAATTTTCCTAAGGTTCAGATGGCATTTTTTAAACAGAAGAGTAATGATGAGGACATGCCTTCTGGAGAGTAAGTTGTTGTACAAAGCCGCACAAATTACAACACTGTGCGCAGGTCCCAGCAATCCACAGTGGACGGAACAAGACTAAAGGCCCACACCCATCCCACATGTCCTCTTTGGAAGCCTTTAAATCTGGGGGAAAGTAGCATTTCAAGTTATTGGGGGAAGGGGTCACTCAGTCAATACTGGGACCACCTAACCAGTGGGGAGAGGAATATGGTTAGGTCCTTCTCTCATACCTTACAGATTCCAGATGTATTCAAAGTAAACAGTGAAACAGCCATCACCATTATTGTCATTATTGCTTCCTGGATGGAAAAGCAATGTCTGAATGCCATTCCTTTGGAGACCAGAGGTTGCTGGGATTGAATCTGCCTCTTCTGTTACAATAGGGCATCTGAGGCTTTCTGCTCAGAGCAGGGTGGTCACATGTTGGCTCTGTGGGCAGCAGCGGTCACTCAGGGCAGGTAGTTTCTCACACCTTTGCAGCTGGATGTGGCCAGGAGTCTGGGATGGCCCTGCATTGGGAAGGGTGAGAACTGGAAGCTGGGCAGGCAGGAGGGCTCACCCATCAGCCATTGCAGGGGAGTTCAAACTTACTTTTCACAGCAGAACCTTTTTTCAAATGCAGATTTTCTAGAACCCTGATTTCCAGATGATTGGGGAGGGAAGGGATTCGGGCAGCCAGACCAGGTCTGAGGGCACCCTGGACTCTCCCCTCCATCACCTAAGGCTGTGGCAGTGGGGCTGGAAGACCCAGGCAGGACAGGGAGAGGAGAGAGAATCTGGCCCTGGTCAGGAGATAATGGAAGCTGAGTTCATGTGGGGACTCAGCTGAACACAGAGGTAAAGAGAGTCTGTCCCTTTGTGGCTCTCAGCAAGCGCTCTAACCCCTTCACTGCCTGGGGTTGAACAGCTCAGTTGGTGACCTCTTTTCCAGGTAACCAGAGCGCCTGACTCCAGGATATCTTTCCTGAGTGTGGTCCAGGCAGAGGTCACCAACTCTGGAACCCCAGCAGAAGGGACTAGAGACCCTCTGGCCCAATGGTTCTCAACCTGGCTGCCCTCTGGGATGCCCTGGGGACCTTTCAACATGCACGCCCCCAGCAGGACCTTAAATCAAACTTAGGTTGGGGTGGGGAGACCAGCTTAGAATTCTGCCCAGGTGATTCTAACGGGCCCTGTTCCAACCACCTATTTCTCTGAGGCCCAAGGGCAGCGACTTGCCAGGGCCACATAGCCAATCTGCAGGAGGGCTCCAGTGGGAAGCACAAGTCACAGGAACAGATGGAGAGAGTCTTTTGATGCTAAGGATCTGAGCCAGCAGGAAAGAAGAGAGAGGATGTGATCACAGGGCAGAGAGGGCAGAAAGGGGAAAGAGAAGAGTTGGTGGTAGCAGGTGCTTCCATGGCCCAGAAAACTTCAGGAATTCATGGGCAGTTAGCAGAGGGCTCCGGAACTTTCTCTCCGGATTTACAGAAGGGAAGACTGAGGCACAGCTTCATGCAAGGAAAAGCATCAGTCTGGGTGCCACTGTTAGCAACCAGTGATTTCTGGAGATTGATCGGCCTTGTCTGAGGTGGTGAGAACCCAGCCTGAGAGGATGGCCATGTCTCTCTCTGACAAGTGTTAGGACGGGTCAGTCTTACTGAGACTCTTCTTCAAGCCACAGCAGCCACAGTGTTGGCAAGGCCAGGTCACTGGACTGGGGATTACACAGACCTTGTTCTGAATTTTGGGCCCCCAAGAGGAAAGGATCTTAACCTCTCTGGCTTTAGTTTTCCCCCTCTTTAAAATGCAGTCCCTTCTGGGACTAAATGAGAGAGGCACAGACATAGAGCCGAGCACCCATGTAGTGTGGATATCGGCAGGCGTGGTGGCACATCTGCGAACAGCTACCGTAGAGGACAGTGTGCAGTGGCCGAAGCTTAGTAGCGTGTGCTTCTGGGTGTTGCTGGCCTCATGGGCCATGTTGGCATGGGTCCATTGTTCCCAAGGAGATTGTTCTGTCTGGGATGGAGGGGTAACCTCACAGGTCCCCAACAGTAAGGATTTCCCAAACTGGAGCGAACCAGGGCTGTCGAGCAGCTCATACTAAATTAATACAAAGAAACAAGGAGAGGAAAACGGGAAAGGAAGGATCGTCAAAAGGCGTGGCTCTCTGGTCTCTCGGACCTACTGCTGGTGTGGTCTGAAGCAGTGTCCATGGCGGGGTTTTTGACAGTGAGGGGTCCTGGGGTCTTCCCTGCATTCACCTTGACTGGCTGACAATGACAGGCAATCAGGATGGTGGTAAGGAGTGATGACACCAGACAGAAGCAGGAGTGCTGTGCCTGGCTGGGGGCTGGGAAGGGTCACGCAGAGGAAGCGACTTGTCAGGTGGGACCTGAAGGGTCACCAGGACCCTTGCAGATGAGGGAGGAGGGGGTGGTGAGGACTCTGCATATGTTCATGGACAGGTCCAATGTGTCCCAAACAGGAAGTTACTCTTTTCTGGGTCCTTTCTGGAGGATGTATGGTCCAAACACCCCTGCAGAGCTTTGGATTCCCACAATCATGGCTGACTCAGTAGCTTTTCCAGTTCAGCTGAGCTGCCATGCAAACTTCCTGCCTGAGTGCGGGGTGGAGTTTGGAAACAGACTTCCCTGAGCACCACAATCCCAGCCTTAGCCTCCTCTGACTGGACCCCCAGGTGGTTTAGGGTTTCTTTCAGAGATATGGGGACCTACTGGAACAGAGGGAGGACAAGAGGCAGGTGTGGCACAGGCAGGCCTGCTGGGGCGTGAACACAGGAGAGCAGAGGGTCTGCCCACCAGTGGCCACCCACATGCACATTTACAGGACCACCCTCAAGGGCACAGGAAGGAGAGGACTCTCCCCCTACCCGGTCCATTCAGATCTGGCACTTCACCCCAGGGAGCCTCTTCTCACCACCTGTTTCTCCGTACCTGCATCTCACATGTCCTCTCTCCTTCTCTCCCTCTTCTTCCTGTCAAAGGGAAAAGGAAACAGTCAGAGGGGGGTGACCCCTTAGACCTACCTGTGTCCCCTCAACCCGATGGTGAGCAGAGCAGGAGCCAGAGCCCAATCCAGCTGGAGGTGAGTTAGGCAATTCCCCCAGGGTCCCTCCCAGATGAACTTGGAGACCCCCATGCTCTCAGGAGGGAGACGTGTTCCCTCCCCCAATCCTACAGAGCCAGGAGAGGAGCCCAGCCCATGGCCCCGGGCCCTGCATCAAGGGTGTGGGAGCTGGGCAGGCAGGAGGGCTCGCCTCGCCAGGGCGGGGCTGTTAGACTTCTTTTCCATAGCAGAACCCTTTATCAAACAAAGATTACCTGGAACGCTGATCAGATGACACAACTACAAGCACTATTCTATGGAGTAAAACTGCATTTACATCCATCCGTCATCCATCCAAACTTATAACAGACACGCAAGTCACTTGGCGAGATCAGTGAGGCTGTTTGGGTTGGTGAGCTCGGTCCAAGGAGCAGCTGTGGGTGTTGCTGCACAGTGTCGGCCTCAACCCCCATCCACGTCGGCCGTTTGTTTTGGTGGCACAGTCTGGAGTAAAAATCCTAATTATGTAGAAAAGTAGTCACAAGTGGCCCCAGTTCTTAACAGCCTGCCTAGTTCAGAGAAGAGGAACAGAAGTTCAAATTCACATGAAGAGCAGTAGTGAGCACCTTCCTTCTGGGTGGCACCAGCCCAGGGCCCTTGTCTCCAGCACATCACAGTTTCATGGGTGACACGTGAGCCTGTGTGTTTGCTATTGGAGGTCTTGGGTAAGTCAAAAACACTGAAACGGTGCTTGATAGGGTGTTGGGGAACGCATGGCCCTGCACTGTTCTAGGCCTGAATGATCACGTTCTTCAGGTATTCAGGGACCTTCACCCATGACCTGGGAGCTGTCTATTCCCTGAGCCCTCAGCCCCAGCCCAACCATCCCCCTCTGCCCTGAGCTACTAGCCAGATGAACAGCATCAGCAGAAACTGCACCTTTGGGAGCAGAAACTAAAAGAAAGAAGTGCTCTAGGAACCTGGGACAAGGCTCCACCTCCCTGAGGTCAGCACACAGACTGGCAAGTCAGGGAGGAAGGCCACCACGGCAAAGGCCGGGTGGGCACAGGCCCAGCTGAGTGGCCCCCCAGCACCAGAAAGTACAAAGCACTTTTGTTCCTCCAGCTTTGACCACACAGGCCATTTGGAGGTCTGGGGATACCAAGCCTGTCACCAGCAGCTCACAGTCTGGTAGAAGAGCTGAGATGCAGATGTAACCAAGCTAGAGCAACATAAAGAAGTGGCCTGTGCCTGGGGAGAGGCCTGGAGGAAGTGGGAGGCTCTCTTCTGGCCTCCTCTGAAGCCCGGCCTCTGTGGACCCTGACCTGGGGTCCTGGGCACCAGTAGCCAACAGCGACATCTTTCTGACACCAGGATAATCACTCCAGCCCAGAGCAATAGGCTGGGTGTTGGGGGCCTGCTCCCTTCTGTGGGAGTCTGGGGTTGGGGGACACACACCTCATTCCTCCCCAACAGCCAGTGGTTTTACCTGTCCCCAGCCACGTACCAACTGGGGCTGATCCCAGTGCCTGCTGTTCTTTCTCCAGGACTCCCCTGAGGCAGGCGGGGAACTGGAGGAGGAGCAGGAGCGAGAGGAGGAGCAGGCCTTCCTGGTCAGCCTCTACAAGTTCATGAAGGAGCGACACACGCCTATTGAGAGGCTGCCTCATCTCGGCTTCAAGCAGAGTGCGTGTCTGAGGTGCAGGTGGGAAGGGGGCCCAGTAGGGGACCTCACCCAGCAGGCCACTGGGGCAGGCACCTCCACTCTGAGTGACCTCCACACTGCAAGCCCACAGTGCTTGCATGTAGAAAGGGCGCTCTCTCCCAGGTACTGGGCTGGCAAGGGGGAGGGCTGGATTTCCCTCCTCACTGACCACTGGGCTGCCAGTGCACAGGCCCCGCCCAGCCTGTGGTCCTTTGCAGTGGCCCTGGTTCTGTGCTGCCTGACAGGGCCATGGGAATGGGCTGCCGGCTGCCCCTTCCTCCGGCAGAGACTGACAGTGGTCCTGCCCTCTCTCCTGTCCAGTTAACCTGTGGAAGATCTACAAGGCAGTGGAGAAGCTGGGGGCCTATGAGATGGTAAGGAAGACACCTGAGTCCTCACCATGCTGCTTCTCCCCACATATCCCAGCTGCCAGTCCCAAGGGGACCTGGGAAGAGTGGGAGCCCAACAAAGCTGCCTGTGCCTCCAGACAGGTCCTGCCCCTCCCCAGCTTTCCTGCATACAGAGTAGAGGGACATGGGCTTGCCTGCCTCTCGTACTGTGCTGCCCAGAGCAAGTTTTCCTCTCTTCCCATCTGTTCTACCTTCCCTGAGCTCGGAAAGCTGATGGGGCCAGCAGTCCAGTGGTCAAGGGTGGGGGGTGAGGTACTGGCCAGCCGCCCCTGCCAAACCTGGCCCTACTGCTGGTGGGCACCCTGCCTCATGTGGTGCCCTTGCAGGTGACCGGCCGCCGTCTCTGGAAGAACGTGTATGACGAGCTGGGGGGCAGCCCAGGCAGCACCAGTGCGGCCACGTGCACGCGCCGCCACTATGAGAGGTGCGGCTGGGGCAGTGCAGAACAGCTGGGCCCCTCCCTCCCGGGGGTGTGGGTGCAGGACCATACGCAGTTGTGTACAGAGGTGGGGTGGGATGAGCAGCAGTGTGCGGGGCATGCACTCTGCCGCCCACCATGGCCAGAGCACTGGCAGCCTCCTGGACAGGACGAGAAAGAGCGTGGCCCTGGCTACAGGCACTGCCCAGAGGTGTTTGCATTTGTGGGGAGGAGCAAGAGGAGTGGGGTGGAGGTGGGAGGGCTGCATGCGCCTGCTGGTCCTGGCCTCATGGTGGACATGCCACTCCCTCCTCAGGCTTGTCCTTCCATACGTGCGGCACCTGAAGGGAGAGGATGACAAGCCACTGCCTCCCTCCAAGCCCAGGAAGCAATACAAAATGGCCAAGGAGCCTCGGGGGGATGATGGGGCCACTGAGAGGCCAAAGAAGGCCAAGGAGGAGAAACCAGTGGGCCAGGTGAGCTCCAAGCCCAGCCAGGGCCACCGGCTGACCCTGGGCCTTCCTGTCCCCTGCATCTCGCAGCTGCCCCCACCTGCCTTCACTATGGCATGGCCGTGAACTCCCCACCCAGAACACCCAGAATCTGCTGGTGTCAGTTGTTCACCATTTGAGGGCCCATGTGGGACCTGAACTTCAGTCTGTACTCCGTTCCCCAGGCCCTGTGCCCTGACCCCAGGCTGTGTCCCTTCAGAGGACGGGGCTCCTTTCAAAAATGCACAAAGACACCAGGAAGGCTAGCAGAGGCTACCAGGTGCCCCTGGGGCCCTGTGTCACCACGTCCCCAGGTCAGGGTGCATGGCTGATGCATAGCTCTGAGGCCTGTCCCTTCCTTACTCTAGATGATGCCAGGAAAGAACAAGATGGACGTGGTCGATCTGGTGAGGCCCTCCAGCCAAGAGCACCCCCAGGATGGCACTGAACAGCCAAGCCCAGCTCTCGGGTCCTCTCTACCCTTCGTGGGTGTCAGCGGCTGCCCTGAGGCCTACAAACGGCTCCTGTCCAACTTTTACTGCAAAGGGACCCATGGGATCATGTCGCCACTGGCCAAAAAGAAGCTCCTGGCTCAGGTGAGCCGGGCAGAAGCCTTGCGGTGCCGGGAGGAGAGCTGCTGCCACGGGGCAGGCAGCCCTGATGGGGAGCCCCAGGTGTCCCCAGCTGCTTGCCCCCCAGAGAGTCCTCGGAGCCCAGGAGGGCCACCTGAGAACCACAGGCACCGGCTGGCCCCTCAGGAGGGACCACAGGCTTCTGGTGGCAGCCTCAGGGAGGAGGCTCAGGAGGGCCCCCACCCACCAGCCCCCATCTTCACTGGCTGTTTCCATGCCTATCCCACCAAGGTTCTGAAGCCCATCAGCCAGCACCCCCGGGACTTCTTTCCCCATCTCAAAGATGGGGTGCTCTTGGGGTCCCCTGGCAAAGAGGAGGGGCTGCCGGTGAAAGAGCCATCGTTGGTATGGGGTGGGGATGTCAACCGTCCCTCTGCATTCCACAAAGGTGACTCCAGAAAAGGCAGCCTCTATCCCAAGCCCAAAGCCTGCTGGGTGTCCCCCATGGCCAAGGTTCCTGCTGAGAGCCCCATGCCCCTTCCCACCTTCCCCGGCAGCCCAGGCCTCAGCAAGCGCGGCCAGGAGGAAGAGGGCTTTGCTCCTGGTGGCAAAAAACTGCGGGCAGTGTCTCCCTTTCTCAAGGAGGTGGATGCCAAGGAGTGTGGGGTCAAGCCCATGGGGCCGGGCTTGGCTGTCTCCTGCCTGCTTAGTCCAGCCCTGGGGCCTGCCCTCCCAGATGCCTGCAGGGGCACCATGCTGCGCTGCCCACTGAACTTCACCAGCACCCCGGACCCCTTAAAAGGCCAGGCTACGCTCCCCTTCAGCCCCCTGGTCATCCCAGCCTTCCCAGCTCACTTCCTGGCCACTACAGCACCCCCACCCATGGCCACTGGCCTTATGCACTTTCCTCCAGCATCCTTTGACAGTGCCCTCCGCCACAGACTTTGCCCAGCTTCGTCTGCATGGCACATGCCACCTGCCACAACCTATGCAGCACCCCACTTCTCTTTCCACCTTAACACCAAGCTATAGGTCAGAGTTTGCCATTCTGCAGAGGGTCTGACACAGCCCGAGATGGGCATACTGCCAGGGGACTCTGGGCTGGAAGCCCATTCTGCAAGAGAGCTTGGCTGTGCCCAATGCAGGAATGGGCCCTTGGCAGGGCAGCCTGACACAGGGAGGCAGTGGGAAAAATGGGTTTGTCTCCCAGTCACAGCCTGAGTCTGGGGGCTGGGATCCAGTTGTAGGAAGGCCTTGGGAAGAGACAGTGCAGGGTTGGCAGCTCCCAGCTGGGGCCCCCAGAGTGGAGGCCAGTAATGGGGTGAGGGGCTGAGAAGCCAGATAGCAGCTTGGGGCATCCAGGTGCCCACAGAAAATCCAATAAAATGCCAGTGTGAATCTACTTTCCCTGAGGTATGCACAGTGTGATCTTCCTGAGGGCTGGTGAGGCAGGGTCATGTTTGTGCATGGGGCTGCCAGTGGGACAACCTGGGGAACCAAGGAGAGGTACCTCCTAGCACCCACTCAGAGAGTGGGACCGAAAGCAAAATAGACTCCTGCTCCCACTTAAGCAGGCTGTGACATTCGTCCTATGCCTTCCATCTGCCTTCCTATTGGATCCTCAGGATAACTGCTTGTTACCTTCCTCACTGTACCTAAGGCCTGACGCCCAGAGAGGGCAGTGACTTTCCCAGGTTATCCCAGCAGGTGAGTGGTAGAACAGAGGGGTGACTCCAGCACGAATATAAGCTACAGGCCTCAGGCAGAGTGATGCACCCTGCAGCTATTAGTCTTCCTGAGGCCTGAGAATCCAGCCTGTCTGCCCTGGGGGTGCTGCAAACTCCCAAGGCCTTGCCGCTGGATCTTCCCTGAGCCCTCACCCATCCACCCCCACTTGCCTGCCACCCATAGGTGGGCCAGGAGGTTCCCACTGGAGGCACCTGTGGGGAAAGAGAAGAAGAGGGGCCAGGAGCTTGGCTTGGGTGTCCACACTGTTTCAGATGTGTTTGCTGCAGGGGCATTTCATACCCTACAGCCCAAGGCCTTCCTTCCTGTGGGCTCTGTGGGGCAGTAGGAGCCCCTGTCTCAGTGGGAAGGAGGAAGAGAGGGCCCCTTTCAATGCTGCCTATCCTCAGGAGCCGGCAGCCACCTGCAAACTGCACACATGTTCCTGGGTAGTCAGGGCCACTGTTAGGCAGTCAGGCACCAGGGTGGCAGGCATCTGACTTCTGGCCTCAGGTTTGTCAGAGGGTGGCCTTTGATAGCATCACTGGAACTCACCCTGCTCTCTAGGGTACTTGCAACTTCAGGCCATGGGAGAGGCAATTAGCGTGACCACCCCTTAGTTAACAGGTGAGCAGGCTGAGGCCAGGAACATGAGCCCATCACTGAGTACGACAGAACCCAGACCTGGGTGCACTAATGATGTCTGGCACCAGGGGGTGGGCTGCTGGGGCTGAAGGCTATCCTTCAGCCTGTCCAGCCTTCAACTCGAGCTAAAATGGGCACAGGTGAGGCAGCTGCCCTCCAAGCTGGGGCCAGTGATGGGGAAGTTGGAGGGCGATGGTCACTGCTGTTGGGAACCAGATCAGGCTCAGAAGGGGGGAAGTTTAATTCTCCATCCCCCTCCTGGGAGCTGCCCAATGCCAGTCCAAGTAGCTGTGTGGCCTCCAGCCCTGTGCTCCAGCTCCTGCACACACCCATGTACTGCCCACCTCTCTAAGCCTCTGCAGTCTCAGTGGTTGACAAAGAAGGGTGCTGGGTCAAATACCCTGGGTTGGAAGTGTGTGAGTCCCCTTCATCTGCAAAAGTGCAGCAGCAGCCTCCCCTGGCCAGGTGTACCTGGTGGTAGGACTTAGGCAAAGGCCACTCAGAGCTGTGGTGGTAGTGCCCTCTAGAGTCTGCTCTTGGGACTACCCCTGTGGGTTTAGGGCAGTTGCTCCCTGAGCTGGTCCCTGGGCATAGCACTATGGCCCTTGGTTGGGTGTCAGCAAACACTCAGGGCTTATTGTGAACATGCTTCCTTGAAAACCTCTGCGCACTGTGCCCTGCAGCTCTGCAGTGCTGGAAGCACAATTTTCTCATGGTTCCTGGAAAGGGGCAGTCCTCGTTTATAAATGGGAAAACAACTCTGAGATCTGGAACTTCAGGCGCCAAGCTGGGCTGAGCTGAGAGTAAGGGGGAACAGGGCTGACAGGGGACTGAGGCTGCATGTTTAGAGCCTTCCAGGTCTCAGAGTGAGCTGGGAGCAGAGAAGGGTTCTGGTCTTGGCTTAACAAGAGCCCTGAGCTTTTGGGTGGGACTAGATACTAGGGTTGGGGGCAGGGAGCCCACTTATAGTGGCACAGTCCCTGTGTGTGGGCTCAGGTGGGAAGGGTTGTGAACAGCAGGTGGGAACCAGAGGTTGGAGTTTTGAAGTGGGGGTGAAGGGGAACTAAAGATCTGGAGAGACGAAGAAGGCTGCACTGGGCAATGGCCTGGGTTAGGGGGAAGCACCAGTTCAACTTGAGTTTAGTGGCATAGTTTGTGGTGAGACTGGCAGCAAGTGATGAGACATTCTCCTTGCCACCTTCGGTGCAAAACTGTGGAGAAAGCTGGATACATGTGAGTGGGAGCTGTGCTGGGAGAGTCCAGGAAGCAGGAGAGGGACTGGGCACTAAGGTGGTACGAAAGTGACAATAGTGGGCCATGGGGTTGAAGCTGGCTGAGGGGCTATGAGGAGCAGAGGGAGTGAGGGACCCAGGCAGGGGGTGCGTGGGGGTGGGTGGGAGAGAATGTCAGTGGAGGAGAGGAGGTCAAGGACCAAGGGATCAGAATGTGGGAAGCCTTGAGATCAGCACAAGTAAGAGTTGTCTGCAAGAACGGGGGAAAGAGGAACTTGAAGGTCCGTGGTCGACAGCAGCAATGATAGAGGCAGGGATCTAGTCTCAGAGCATGATCTTCAGAATGGAAGCCACAGGCTCTGGATGCAGTGAGTGGCTGCCAGTCCCTGGAGGGACTGCAGGGGAGGGGTCTTGGTGGGCACTGCTGTGGCTGGCAGTGGGAGGGAGAGGAAGAGGTAGCTGGGACCCTCACAGGTAAGCGTCAAATTTCCATGGCTCATGAAGGATTTAGGCTCAAGACCGGAGTCTGTAGACAGTGGCCTGAAGATGTGTTTGGTTTGACCCATATATGATTTTTAAAAAATGCTTTTGTAACATTGCCAGCACTTAAAAATCTAAAGATCTCACATAAAAATTTAGAACCTGGGCTTATCTTTAAACACCAGAATTTCTGGCCTTGTGGGAACCACTGCTCGGAGCTGAGTGGTGGCTGCTACCCCTTGGGCAAGGTGTGCCTGATGGTCTTTTACAGTCCTCCCAGCCCCACTTGTCCCCAATCCTGAGGGACTCAGCCCCCTAGTCCTGGGCTGCTCAGGCATCAGGGTGCAGCCTTGTTTCTTGTTGTCATAGATAGGCCAAGGCCAGTTTTCTAAGCAAATGACTCCAAGGATGTCACTGCTGGAAAATTCAATGGGCTTCCAGACAGGAAGGCAGGGCAGACTTGGGTAATTGCCAGCTCGCCCATGCAGTGTCCCCTGGTTTACCAACCAGCAGGGGCAGAAGGTGGTGGGCTGGACAGTGGATGGAGTGGGCATTTCCGTCCCACCTCACTCTGGTATCCCAGAAGCTTCTGCCCCTCCCTGGGCCACATCCACAAATCTGTGGAATGAGTGTGGTCACTTCCAGGTTCTGCACTGTGACCCAGAATGAGGCGCAGATAGGGTCTAGTGTCTGGAAAGGGGTGTGTCACCTGTCCCCTGAACACACCCCTGGTCTCCAGAGGATATTCCCAGCTCCCCTGGGTTCCTGGCCGCTCCTGCAAAGCCAACATCATCTGCCCACAGCAAGTGGCAGCCACCACCCACAGGGAAGGAAGGAGCTCCTGGGTAGGGTCCTAGAAGGGTGCCTCCCACTTCCACTCCTCCCCAGTGGCTACTGACTTGTCTCCAGTTCTCAAGATTCCTCCCACCTGCCCACCATGTCACTGGAGGGGGCTGCAGGCTGTGGAGGAAAGATCAAGGAGCTGGGAGCCAGACACAGGCCCCAAGCCCAGGTACCCATGGGTTTAGGCCCAGGGGTGTCCAACCTTTTGGCATCTCTGGGCCACACTGGAAGAAGAGTTTTCTTGAGTCACACATAAAACACACAAACATTAATGAAAACTAATGAGCGAAAAAAAGGTTTTAAGTAAATTTATGATTTTGTGTTGAGCTGCATGTGACCCGAGGGTGGCAGGTTAGACGCCCTGGTAGGGGGAGTTTGCAGGTTGCAGGCCCCCCAGCCAGAGCCTGCACAGACCACAGATGTGGGGGGGGGGGTGGTGTGCAACCAGGTGCCCCTCTCTGGGTACTGCTGTCCTGAGCTGCAGCTGGATCCTGATGGCTTGTCTTCACTAACCCCACGGTTAGTGGTGCTGCTCTGGTAGCTTGAACTGGGCCAAAGCAAGGGCACTCACACCCCCAGAGAATCAGCAAATGCTGCAAATAAGACCCCTAGCTCATCCTGCTTCTGTCAGCACACCACACCACTGCCATCCACTCCCCTCCCACTGCTTTCCTCCCAGGCCTCAGCTAGAGGCTACACTTTCAGGAGAATATGATCTCCTGTCCTGTCTTACCCATGTTCCCAAGGCACCAGCCTGTACCTCAGAGGCAGTGTGTCCGCTAAGTGGACCACATGGTGACATCAGGCAAAGCACTTCCCTGGCTGCGACAAGAGCTACAGGCATTAGTGAGGGTGCTTGGCAAACTGGAGCCCTGGGCAAATAAGCATCATCAGCTTTGTCTTCCGTCCTGCATGGCCAGCCTGTCCCCTGCCTTTCCTCTCAGGGCTTCTGAAATTCCAGTGTGTGTGACTCCTGCTGCTGCCCTGTCTGGCTCTGACTCAGACTAATCCTGCCCTTTGGGTCCTATGTCTGGGTCAAGAATGGCAAGTCAGCTTCACCCAGGTACCAGCCCTGACTGATCATGTTTTCTGCAGCTCTGTGCCGAGTCAGTGTGAAAGCGGTGCAATTGATCGACAATGTCTGCTAAGGCCCTGGGCAGGGGGCATGCTCACCTGCCAGGGTTGCCATCCCTGGCTCTGTACATCGTGACGACTAGCTGGTGACCCCCCGGATCCTGGGCTCCCTGCCACATCTCAGCCACAGGTCCTGTGTAGAGATGCCATTTCCCTCCCACTGAGGAAGGGCTGTGGGCGGGCAGGACCTGGGCAGGGAGTCCAGTCCTAGAAGCTTGGGTGGGACATCACTTACCCATGAGTTCAATGCCTGGGTAGTGGTCAGGCAGGGAACTTCCTGGGAGAAATCCAGTAGGCCACCCCCCTCCCAACCACCACCACCACCACCACCACCACCAAAAAA